TGGTGGTGGTCGTTGAGTAGTAAAAAAGTGAAAAAAGAAAAACACAGAAAAGCTTTCTAGAAGTAGGCAAAAACAGCAGCACACTACTCTATGAAAGAAGTCCGCTAGAATAATGTTAAAAACATGGTCAAAAAGAGAAGGGGGTCCCAAAAAGAGGCTTGAAGAAATACTGGACACATCAATAGACGAGTGGAAGATCACGCAGTTGTTGAAAAATGTTGCTATTTACAGTAGAGGGAAGAGTTCTGAAAAAGAAGAGAAAAAATGTGTTAGTTTTGATCAGAAATAAAGCAGAAAAAAGTACTCACCAAAATTCATCTAACTAGCCGGCTCGTCCACCGAGCTTCTTCTCTTGGATTCAGTTGATTCCGTAGTATTTTTAGTCAAAGTTTCGGTGGACTGCTGCTGTTGCTGCTGTCCCTCGTCAATGTCCACGTCAGTGTCCGGCTCGGTGTTGTTGTCGTCGACTGAGGAGGAGGCGGCCTCGACCTTCTGCTTTGACTCTTCAGCAGCAGCGGAACTTTTATCCTCAGGCCTGAGCCGTTTCCGCTGTTGCTCACCAGCGTCACTCGATGAAAGATCATCCCCATCATCATCATCGTCGTCGTCGTCCTCCGTGGAGAGGTAGGCGTACTGCTCACTGCCAATCTCAGGCGACTGCTCACTGCTGCTGAGGTTGCTGCTGAGGTTGGTAGTGGTGGTGGTGCCATTTTGACAGCTCGGAAGGTTCGGAGCATCAGCCGTTTCAGGCTGCTGTTGCTCAGTGGGCTCGTGAGAGTTGAACTTGATGGGGTTAAAGTTTTTCCTCTTTCGTGGGCTCTTGTGATGACTACTGCTGCTGTTTTGAGGGGGCGTGGCAGTGATGATAGGATTAGGAGTGGTGGTGGTGATGGGATTCGGAGCAGCGGCATCCTCCTTGACCGACAGGTCAATGCAGATATCGTCGACGCCCTCGTCCACCTCCTCACCATCATCATGGTTTCTATCACCACCTTCACCCTCACCATCATCATCGTCATCATCCTCAATCTCCATGCCCATCTCCATGTCCATCTCCACGCCCTCCTCATCGTCGTCATCGTCATCATCGTCGTCCGAGTACATGCCCTCATGAGGAGTGGCTCGACTGCTGCTGCCATCATCGTCATCACCATCCCTCGAGGACATCGAGTTGAAGTCCATCATTGCACCGTAGTGTTGTTCACTGCCCTTGGGCGAGTGGTCGCTTCCGCTAAAATGTCCTCCTCCTCCCTTTCCGAGGCCATCAAAACCGGTTAGGCCATTCAGGGCGCCGAGGTTACCAAAAAGCGAGGCAGCTGCCGCCGCCGTGGCGCCCGGCGAGTGAGCACTTCCGACGCTTCCGCTTCCGCCGCCGAGAATGTTCGGATAGGGATTCGCCGTCCGCCCATCATGCGGGTTAATCTTCCGCCTAAAGTTGGGCGTGTGCAGCTTTGGATTCGGATTAGCGGAGTGCCGGTTACGACTGCGCCGGCTGCTGAACATCATATTGCAGCCGTCGACGGTGCACTTGTGCATCTCCC